GGGGGGGGAACGCATCTATTTATAAAGCACCCCACCCTAGCGAGGGTCAGAGCATCAAGCACTCCCCAAATAGTGACATTATTATGCAGCAGGCAGTTTTCTCTTGCCGGCGCCTGAAAGGCATTTAAAGTTTGAGTGAGATTTCGATGCCTTTGAAAACAATGTCAAGTGAGCAAAGGTTACACCAATGATCTGTAATCTGTCATAGTGCGCATGTTAAAAGTGGATACAAGAAAACTGTCTCCTTGAGTTAAAAACTTGTCTGATGATGCAGTGGATAATTGGGTCTGCGTGTTAAATGTCATCGATTCTGAGACTGTATCTAACTTTTTTGTCCCGTTAATCTGTATAACAGTAGGTACGATGCAGCTTTAAGACTGGCTGCAGGTTAATTCTTTTGGAAGAACTGATTTCATAGGCATCTGTTGAATATGTATTTGTATTTATTTTGTGCAACTAAAGAATTGCAGTGTCTTAATATGTATGACAAAACTTTGTTGTTACAAAACTAACATTTAAGTTTACTGTAGTATTTGTAAGGAAGTAACTTACTTTTGATTTGTACCTTTTGTCAAATGAGAAAGTGTTGGTCATTACGGTGACCTGTGCGGTAACCTTAAGGTTTAAGATTCTGTATGTCATTCAAAGGATTTTTATTAGTAGTAGTAGTATTATTGTTATTAGCAGGCGGCTGTCTTAAAACAGATACTGAGAGCAGTAGGTTTGAAGGTCTGCCTTCTTCAGTGGTAGGTGATATGTTTCTTTAGATTGTGGTGTTTAACAGTAGAGCATGTAGAATCTTTTCATAAAATACAAGTTCTAACTCTTGTGATTCTAGCAGATGACTCTCCAAATACGAGATAGTGGAGCATTTTTCCTGCCTGTACTACTTTTACTGGTTAGGTGGCTTACTGAGGATTTGTGAAGCACTAGTGAAATTACAGATGACTACTGTTTCATAGTTGTTACTCAGGACCCTGTGTGAATTGCCAAATTATGAAGAATTGTGAAAGTTTTACCCGCATTTCTTCTCTGATAGCTTTTCTTCTGGTAATATTCATAGTTTTTTCTGTCGATAATATCAGAGAAGGGATGGCAGAAAAGATGTGCATTGAGGAAGTTTTACTTCTTCCCTATCCAGCATCTGTGTGAGTAGCAACCAGAGGTATTGAAGAAAAACAATTTTGGTAGGCATATCAGCATTTCTCACTGCGGTAGTGACAGGGCTGCTCCTAAAGCTGTCCCTTCTGGGCCTTTCCTTGTGGGCCTTACATCTTGTCTATGAGACTGGTCTAAAAGTAAAAGACTTGCTGATATATCATGCCAAACATTAATGTTTTCTTCACAGACATAGATACCTGATAAATATAGCTTATACTGGAGAGAGCTGATTTATATACTGTCATGCTCTTCTGGCATAGCCATGTTTTTCTAGTGTATAGACAAGGCCTGCGTATGGTTAATAGGTTTAGTCCTCTGGTTGGTGGTTGCCTAGTAAATCTTTCCCCTTGAGGTATAGTATACCTGTTTGCCAAGTATTTACTTAGCTGTCTATAGTTAAGCTTGAGATACTTTGTTGAAACTGAGGAGGAGAGCTGGAGATGCCAAAGGACTGATGAAGTTTGCAGGTCTAAACAAGCAGAACTCACTAGGTGCAATTTGAATTAAAGCAGAATACAAAAAGACTTTTTCTATCAAATCAAGCCGGTTGCTTCTTATCTAGAGTGCAGCTTACATAGTTAAATTGAGTCATTCTTGCTGAGATAGCGTTTTAAGAACTATCGTTTAAATGCTTAGATAGTTAACTTTGGCACAGTATAATTTGCAAACTTATGTAACTGGTATGTTTTTGAATGCAGCTGTCAATAAAAGATCTTCTTGCCCTTTTCCATTTTAGGGGAATTAGCAGTGTAAAGCAGCTGCTTTCACAAGACGACCTAAATATAAGTCATTTAACAATAGCATTTCTTACTAAAATATTAATGTTAATGTAGACTTAATTTTACATGTTCAAGTCTATTCTAACGTTTTTTTTTTTTTTTTACATAATTGGCTAAGCAGAACTGCATTGCAATTAAGTAATTGAGTAACGCGGGTTATGCTAGTAAATAAGCAAGTTCTGGAATGGGCGATACTGTAAAATAATTGTATTCATTTTGTCTCTGCAGACCTACAACTCATTTTAAAGACGTGGATAATAAGTGTTTAATGTCAACATAGTAGTGTCTTAGTAGGGTTACACCTGAGCCATACAGCATTTATTCTTAGTATTGAATGTGGTCCTTTGTAATTGCTGCTGCTCTTCTCTCTGAAATGATACCTCAATTCTTTGAAATCTTTTGAAACATTGATTTATTTGTATCACTTGTAACTGTGCTTTAAATGAGGCAATATGCAGTCTCATGAAAATTAAGCTAATTTTGTGTATTACCTTATTACAGATACCAGTAAGAATTCAGCAGTTTTGCTTACAGTCCCCTGTTTTATATCCTAGTGCTGTTCACTTAGTCTTGGATCAGAAATACGCTTCAGTAAAATTTAAATACTTAAGTACAGTGCTCTTCGTTGAAGGAATACCAAGTTGCAGAGTCCATGTAAATGATATGTAGTGCCTAATGTTACAATGTTTGAAAGATCCAGGGGTTGTACATAAAAATGTAGTTTGAGAGCTGGTGTGTAAATACATAAGTTCCTTCTTAAATTATGTTTTAGGTCACTGGTGTGGATCACAGTGGAGATGGCATATATCCTTGTTGCTTCTTCATGTTTCTCCTGTTATCTCTCTGTGAAGGAACAATATAAGATTTATATTGCTGGATGAAATCACTTAAATCTTAAGACTAGCAAGAATGTTTAGACCGGGGAAGCTGATCGGGACAGGAGAAGAAAGTAGGATACCATGCTAACTGAGGGAGTAGACTGGCTTTTTTTTTTCCTGGTTAGAGATAATACCCTGCTGAGTGTTATAGGTGTTAAACCAGTACTATAAGGTCTGCTCTTCTATATTTATCTT